ATTCACCTGGTCAATGTATGCTTGTGCTGTCAGGCTGCCTTGAACTGTGACCAATTGCGTCTTCATTTCGCTACAGATACCTCCCCAAACCATAACACTCCCACCACCATGAGCCCGAACCTCCATAACGCATGACGTGGCATTGCGTTCACCATGACGCCGATACACACGTGCTCTACCGTCGTTATGTTATCAACAAAACCTACTCTCATCACTGAATAGAACCCTACGCCAATCACGAAGCTGCTATCGTCGAACACGACGTGCCCAGATCAGCCTATTCGATGTTGACGTGTCAGCATTGCTCCACGGAATGGTCTGTGCGCTCGAATTCTGGCATGCTGTAGTCTGTTGTGTGTCTGCTGACAACTCGACCGACTATCGTTGATGCCGATTCCGAAACTGTCAGGAACCAATTCCTCAGATGTAGAATTCGTACATATCGATCTTCCTCGGGGGTATAGACCTTTGGACTACCTGCCCTTAGTCGGTCAACACTCCTGCCAGTCTCATTGAAACGTTTAATAAGTCTATAGACTTTCTTGCGACATGGGCATGAGAAGCTCCCATGTTTATCACTCCTATGACTCTTTCACGCTCTTCTGAAGTAAGTCTAGGCATGTCTAAAGTGTTTTCCTGTTTCACAACGCCCATGTTATGCCAACGGTCGGTAAATGCCTCTTTTTTCTGAAGTAGTGTGCTTTTATCCTTTTATATCACCATTTGCAAAAATTTCACGATTGTTTAGCTCTGAGTCATTTGTTCGTAATGACAACCTTGTTGGTGTGTTTTGGCGATTGTTCAACAATGTTGAATAAATTTCCTTTATCAAAACTAAAATGGGCTACTTTCTTTTGGCCTTGAGTGTAAAGGCTCTCAAGGTCAATGAGCCTGACTACATACAGGGTTGAGTCACACCACGTATGTACCTTTCTTCATTTGTCAGCGTTGACCTGCTGTCAATGAATCAATTAAAGAAACTGTTTAAAGGAGTACATTGTATTGTATTTCTTTTTATATTTATTTGTTGTTGTTTCATTTGAACATAACTGCACATGTATATAAATTGTCAATTTAAACAAAAGGTGACAAGTTGACGAGAATTTAGTAAATTGATATAGATGTCCATACATTTTTGCTGACTATTTCGTGAAGGAATAAAAGCATGAGAATTCTTCTTGAACGATTTTAATATTTTTTTGTTTTTATATGTTCTATTTTAAAAAAAATATGTTTGCATACAATTACTAAAAGGTTTAGTGGCCCAAAATTTGGAAGCAGAGAGCCAAGAAGTATATCTTTCTTTTTAAGTTTCATGAAAAAATCGGCTTTCTGGTTGACCCATTTTTCAAATCGTGTCCAGATGGAACTCACATGGTTGTAATACCAAAACAGATGATCAACTGTTTCACGTTGATTATTACAATGACCAAATAAATTGCTGTTTGCGAATCCCATTTTAAAAACTAAAGAATTTGTTGGTAAGATATGGTGAAGAATTTGATATTGAAACCATTGCTGTTTAGACATTTGGAGGCATTTATTTGGAATCATATTAATTTCTTTTTCTATCAGGTTCCAGTACTGTGTCTCCAAATATCAATTCCCATTTTGGAAAATGTTGATTTCGTAAGCGCCGAGCTTGTATAAGAGTTTCATAGTAATATCGATTTCCTTTTTCGGTGTTTAGTACATGTATGCTATTAAATGACACAAAAGGACATTCAAGATTTGTTTTAATATTTGGAAAACACATTCCACGGCAATATGCCGTGACAGATGCTAACACGCTGTTGAACTCTAGAAAATTACAATTCATGTCATAACGTTGTTTGAACTCTTCAAGGGTATGAAAATAACCGTTTTCATTAATAAGACACCACTTATAAAATCTATTCCTTTACTCTGCCATAGTTTTAATGACATCTTTTCCCAATTGTAATGTCGTCGTTCAACCAAATGCTTTTGGAGAATATATTAATTTCAGAGTTATATACATGGCTAGCGTTTTAAAAAACTGAACCAAACAAAAACAAATCAGAATTTGTATTTTATTGCAGAATAGTTTTAAGCTGAAGTACGCGATTTCATTTAACTTGTTACAATGCTTAAATGACAAATTCAGTTACATGTTGTATTTAATATATTCAGCTGACATACAAGTTCGTTTATTCAAAATCAAAAAGCAAATCGTCCACACAATTCATACAACACAACATTTGGAGCACCTGGTAGGGTATGATACCCCAGCAGGTTTATGGATTCACTTTAGCTACGTAACACAAGCCAACATAAACAAACTGTCTAGTAGTGGGTTGGCATAAGACTCTCTTTGATTATAGTCACACTGATTATTTTACGGGGTCCGTCTTAACGCGTTAACAAAAATCACGTGTCACACTTGGGGTTGTGTGTATGAGGAAAAACATATCATTTAAATGCTGTTCTTGACTTCTCCTTCAGTCTTTGCATGTTTTGTTATGTATACGAAATTACATTTGCGATATGAAGATTCTGATGTGTTTCTTTTACATTTAAACACCGCTTTGTCGAAAATTAAGGCACCTAAGAAAATAAGTATCTTCCGTTTGGCATAACCAAAAAAACAAGAAGAAATGATGGAATGCGCTGGGACCAAGCATTTATGTTTGACACATTGAAGTTTGACTGCTTGACTGTATAATGAGTTCCATCCCAGGTGGTCCCAGTACGTGATTCGTCATATCAACACAACTAACACCATAATGAAAACAATAATATAGTAATTACAAAGCAGTTCCTTCCAGGCCTGTCAGCCGACTTGCAAACTGGGCGAAATCTCGACCAACATTGAATACACCTTAAATAACCATGTGCAGAATCCCGTCCAGGTGACGGTCCACATATTGCATTATTTTCATTAGCCACTCTTTAACTTTAATGATCGACGCCTGACACTGCTTACCCTGACAAAAGAAGCGATGCTGCTTTTGTGACAAATATGACTTCACTGTGCATATGTGAACACATATACATTAACGTTAAATGAGCTATTCGTACCGTGAAATGCATAAATATATAAAACATGCATACACATTCTTGTTCTATTAAGCGATATATGGATATCTGACGACCTTGGTAACTGACCAGAGTAACCACCCTTTCATCAATAAAACTATACAAAAAATGTACTGCATGATCGCTTGGTTCGTTGCCTGTTGTTTAACGCCGCACTCAGGAATATTCCAGCTATATGGTGGCGGTGTGTAAAACATCGAGTCTGGAACAGACAACCCAGTGATCAACAGTATGAGCATCGATCTACTCGATTGGGAACCGATGGCAAGTGTCAACCAAGTCAACAATCCTGACCACCCGATCCCGTTCGTCGCCTCTTAATCTTCACGGGTCTGTCTTGCATTAACATTACCGAGAATTTCGCATAGAAATGAACTGCATCGTATCCCATGAAGATTTAAGCTGCGTGTCCTGTTCTGATGGACGGAGATAAATATACTATAATTGATAAATACTTGAGTGCATGACAGGCAGCAAGACAGTTTGCTCATGTGTTTTCCTGAAGGACACAATACCAGTGGCTGAGCTGCAAATAACATCATCTCGAGATCAACAGCTTTGACGAAAAATTACTAATCATTTTCTTCTCCCAACAAAACATCTCGATTCTGTACACATAAAGCATAAGTTATAAATGAAAACATTATGTTGAACTCCAACATAACCGGTAAATGCGGGTATTCAGTACACCATATGATATCAAATTTAACATAATAAATAGCTGATGACAAAATCTACAGCCAATGGTCGTGAAGCTCCCTAAGCATATATCCGACACAGATGGTATGTGGGGTGATTGGGGAGCCCAGTGGACAAAGTTTTTTCCCGTCACTCGGAAGGCCCGGGTTCTAATCCCCACATGGATACAATATGTGAATCACATTTCTGGTGCCCCTACCGTAATAGTGATAGAATGTTGCTAAAACCGGCGTAAAATTAAAACTCACTCACTCTCATGATGATGATGATGATGGTGATAGGATTTTTATATAGCGCACATATCCACACATCCACGCAACTATTACATGCTTAAGGTGCTCTCATGGTATGTACATCAAGTTCACAAATACACGGGGTCACAAATTGAAGCAAATATTCAAGAAACTTATTTACAGTTGCATCACAGGCACACATAGTTCATCTTGCTTATCTGTATTCATGATGTGGATGGGTTGATGGAAACAGAGGTCGTCAATTTGACATGTATATAATGATTGATGGATGGAAAGTGGCTACTCAACACGTGGATCACTAACAGCAACATCCTGACCCACATCCTGTCAGGATGCGTCCACTTCAACAGTGCGACTGACAATGTGTGTTTACTTCCGCAAATCAGAGGATGTTCTTAGTCTAAAGCATGTACAGTGAGTGAGTGAGTTAATATTTAACGTCACATCTGCAATATCTCAGTCATATCGTGACGTAAACAATTTATACAATATAAAGAGAGAACAAGATTAAAACCTGTCGACGATGGACAGTAAAACAACTAGAATATCCCAATTACAACTAACATTAGTGTGGAAAATTAAAACTAATAGCACTATTGGGACAATACAATATAAAAACTGGCTAAAGATCGCCAACAACTGAAGGTAGATCACCAAACTAGGGACCATAGGACTTACAGTACTTTTGCTACCTGCATGGACCCTAAAGCATGTACAGACCATCCTGCAGGAGTTAAAAGGTTATATTTCCCAATTCTTAAATGTTAGGTGGAATTAAATACGATGTTCGTTTCTGTTTTCAGGACAATTACTTTTCTTACCGACATGGAGCAAATTATTCCCGAAAAATATTAAAAGGTGCTTTGTGCAGTTACACTTTCTGTCCACCACTACCAGACACATTCGTAATTGCAAAGCTTTTACACTGCTGATTACTCGTAATCAAAGTTCCATGTTTTCATTTTAAGAGAAAGAGGTGGGTGGGTTTTAAAAGAAATCCATAAAAGTGTTTGTTATTGTACCTGCCAAATTACAATTTCCACAGTCTGCAAATTCCGTGCTTTGTGCTGTGTACCTGCCAATCTTATTACACAGGCGAGTATTTCCTTAACGTTATGCTTTATATCCACCACTGTCAGTCCTGTCCGTAATGATAAAGCTTTTCCTACACCGCTGATGATTCTTGTTTTAAAGATAGAAGTTCAATACTGTCATTTCACTCATCTTTTTCCAAGTATGCAATAATATCGGTATTGTTTGCCAGACGTGCTAGAGCGAGGATGTCCTCTCTTGTGTCTGAGACATGATAGAGACCTGCCTTGTGATCCACCAGCAGCTGGAAGACATCAGCATGTCCACATGCTGCCGCCATCATCACCGGTGTCCAGTTATACTGTCCTTGGACATTGATGTCATAGGACGGGAGCAGATACTCCACACAGTGTCTGTTACCTCCTCGACAAGCCAGGTGGAGTAATGTGTCTCCAGCTTGGTCTTTCTCAACAAGATCTGGACTCTTTTGACCGAAAGTCTTCAGGAAAGTTAGTTCCCCTCTTACCAGAGACTTCATTAACTCATTCCATGGTGTCACTTTCTTATCATGTTTTCTGTCCAGTTGTTTTATGACTTGTCTGCTCCCAAGTTTAAGGGCGAGAGTAAGGGCATCGTCTCCAGCGTTGTCAACTAAAGAGAAATGTGTCCCTTTATCTTTCATGTATTTAAGTACAGCACCTTGTGTATGCAATACTGCCGTCATGGCAGGTGTCAAGCCCATATTATCTTTGGTGTTGACATCAGAACCATCAATGATGTGTTTCAACATAACGAGCTGCCCATGGCGACTGGCAAGATGTAGAAGAGTGCGGCCATCTTTGTCCACCAGTGTAAGGTCAGCATCACGTGACACCAGGTATTTGTAGACAGCAATGTGGCCGCCACAGACTGCCCTCATTAAAGGAGTCTGACCATTCTTTCCTCTGCAGTTGATGTCAAAGCTGTCAACCACTTCCTTTACAATGGCCAGATTTCCCCCTTGACAAGCAGCATGAAGGACATTATCATCCGTAGAGGTAAGCGATGATTTACCGGCCCCTCTTGTTACAAGCAGATCATACGCCTCCTTCTTCCCACTGAGAGCTGCCATCATTAATGGTGTAAATCCATCTTCTCCAGGAACGGTTATGTCAAACAGCGGCAGGAGATATTCAATAATGAGTGTATTTCCACCCCGGCATGCAAGATGGAGAATGTTGCTGCTATAGTTATCAATCAGTTTTAGGTCAGCATTCTTTGAAACCAGAAGCTCGAACACGTCATTCCTCCCAGCCCATGCTGCAGCCATTACTGGAGTCCGGCCATTCTTTCCCCGAATGTTGACATCAGGTCTTAGTGTTGACAAAAGTGATTGTACAATGGGAATATTTCCTCCTTCACACGCCAAGTGAAGTATTGTGTCACCGTATACATTGTACGCAGACATGGAACCCTGCTTTGAAGAAAGAAGATCAAAAACGTCTTTCTTTCCTGACCAGGCAGCATTCATCACCGCTGTCCAGTCATGTTTTCCACGACAAGTTATGTCAAACCCTTCCTTTATCAAATAGTCCACAATGGAGCAGTTACCACCCTGGCTGGACAGGTGAAGTATCGTATCATTGTTGTCATCAAGTGTTTTGAGATCAGCTTTCTCTAACAGAAGAAGTTTGAAAACATCAGTATTGCCTGCCCAAGCAGCCTTCATGACACCTGTTCTCCCAAGATTTCCCTGACTGTTCAAATCAGCCTTTGGCAGAAGTTCCTTCACTATGACTCTATTTCCTCCCAGGCATCCTAAATGAAATACCGAGTTGTCGTAGTAATCCCTTAGAGAGAGATCCACCCCTTGGGACACGAGCAAGTGGAACAGAATATCGTGTCCACTGACGACCGCATACATCACCGGCGTCCACCCATTGCCTCCACGACTGTTAATGTCAAATTGTGGAAGCAGGTTCTTCACAATGGAGACATTTCCTCCGTGGCAAGCAAGATGGAGGAGATTGTTACCATTGTCATCTTTCAGTTTAAGATCTGCATTCTCTTTCACAAGCAGGTCATATACATCCTTTCTTCCATTCACGGCTGCCTTCATCACCGGTGTCCAGCCATGTTGACCTGGTATGTTGATGTCAAGCTGTGAAAGGAGATTCTCTAAAATTGACGTATTGTCTGGCTGACATGCCGAATGAAGGAGACTGTTGTTGTTGTCATCTCTCAGATTGATGTCAGCTTTCCGTGACACAAGCAGGTCGAATACCTCCTTCTGTCCAGATGATACTGCACACATCATGGGTGTCTGGCCATATTTACAACGGTAATTCACGCCCGTCCGTGGCAGCAGATTTTTTACGATGGAGCTATTTCCCCACTCAAATGCTAGATGAAGTGCATTTTTTATGGTGGTATCTCTTAAAGCTTTGCATTTCAGAAGAATATCCAATACATCCTTCTTCCCAGCAAACACTGCACATGCAAGTGGTGTCCAGCCATGTACGCCTGGATTGTTAATGTCAAATCTATGATTTTGAAGTAGGTACTCTACAACTGAAGTTGACCCGTACTCACTAGCCATGTGTAGCAAGGTGTTGCTGTTGTCATCACAAAGGTTTAGATCAGCCTTGCCTTTCACGAGACGCTCTAAACTATCCTTCTGTCCAGACACAACAGCATACATAGCAGGTGTCCACCCATTCAAACCACGACTAATGATGTCACAGTGAGGAAGAAGTTTTTTCATAATGGATTTGTCCCCAATGAAACAGGCATAGCAGAAGATTTGGTGCTTGGCATGATTTGACAGAGAAGGTATATCTTTCAACATTTTAGATACTTTCTTGATTATTTCCTTTCTTTTCCATATAGGTTGCATAACATATTTGCTTAAATTTATGTTACTGAATAGAGAGTCAACCATCCTGTCAACCAGTGCTTCACTGTATGAGTCTGAGAAAGGAATGATTAGACGGTGTTCATTGACAGGAATGGTACCGGTTTTCTGATCCTGCACATGTTTCATGAGAATCTGGATGCTGAAATGTTCACGAACAAACTCAGGTTTAATACTGTATAAAACAGAAACACAGACATCATAAACCACAGAATGGGAAAATGTTGTTATGTTTCCTTCCGTCAACAATGAACCACAAAGACTCCTGACAGCTTCAGCTACACTCTGGTTGGTTGATGTTGGCACAAGAGTCAGCACTGCCTGGAGGTGAGTCTTTAGTTCTGAGTCAGATTCTGTCTCCAGCTGACCAATGTTCAGCTGCCCGTCACACAGGAGCACCAGGATCAGAGCAGCAGACCGATCATCCCATCGACTGATAATCTCATGAAGTTCTAATCTGAGAGAGGATACAGGATTCTCCAAGAACGTTTCGTGGTTTTCTTGAAAGGCAGCATAACTGGATAAAAGTCTACATACAAGAGGAAATCCAATGGTTTGCTTATCATTTCCACCAAGTCCGATCACTTCGACTTTTGCTTTGTATTTGTAATGGGAGCTGTGTTTCTGCCATATTTCTTTCTTCTCTTCATCTGTGTAGGAAAATGACTTTGTTTTGGTCAAGTCTGCAATTGTACTGTTGCTGAAGAAACGGAATGTCTGGCCTCCGAGTTGTGACCTTGCATGTTCTAATGTGGTGGATTCTGATGTGAATATGAGATACATGTTTGACTGTTTGTCTCTCCTTCCTTCCTCTCCCGACTCCTGTTGGTAGCTCTCATATCTTCCTCCAGGCCTGTTCGTACACTGTGTTAGGTGCAGATGGAGCTCATACAGAAGATGTGTTAGACGAGGCACATCCAAATATGGCCCGGCCATCTGAAATATGTCATCAAATATCAGACATACGTCTTTGCCATCACCCTGCCAGTCAGACAGCTGTACGTTATCAAGATCCTCAACCACTATCAGTTGATACCCCTGCTTCCTGTATTCAGCTCCAAACATCAGGGCCATGGATGTTTTACCTTCTCCAGGAGCTCCACTGATTGTCACATGATGGAACGTCTCTAACATTTCTCTCACTTTCTCGAAGCTCGCAGTCTCAACAAACAAGGCCCTTGCATTGTTTATCTTTTGCCCCAGTGGATCTGATAAAGAAACCAACGAAGTAAATTCATTTTGAGACAATTGAAAAGTACATGCAAGGCAATGAATAAGCAAGATTATCTTCAAATGATTATTCGTATTGCTATTTGTTTTGTCAGGCGAGTTATTTGTCAATGTTTCTTTCATATTCATGTAAATATATTACATTTGACTTAGATAGATGTATGTTGTTCAATATTTGTCCTAAAATCATAGCATCAGTTCTGATATATACCTGATTCTGGGTTATGTTGAGCCACACCACGCTCCGGTCCTGGTCGAAGAAACAAGACCTATTAGCACAGATATCTAGCAAAATCTCAATAAACAGTTAATGCATATTTCATATCCTTTCTGAATGGAAGTACGTATTAGGTAGAAAGTATGAAACAATTATAATATAGAGAACAGACAGAGAGAAAAAGCAAATTCATAACTTGTTAAAAATTGTTCACAATGTGTGGGACATTTGCAAAAATGTTTTTTTAGTCTAAGCCACTCACACTCACTTGCTTCGCGTCTTTATTTTCACATTGACTACAACAACAACAATATGACTTGCATAAAGTCATTCATCACTGATCAACATTAGCAATGATATGCTATTCATTGAAATTCAATCACGTTTATCATATAGCAGGCTGACAGAGTGTTAAACAGGAATGTTTTATCCTGTTCATTCATTAGGAAACACATTGTCCACTGAACTATTGTCATGGAAGTTCAGGAAACACTAGCCTGGACACCCCCATCCTCGAAAGCTTGTTTCGTTTTGTTGATTTTGGGACTATTTATATGCATTAAAAGACAAAATATCGATGAATACACAATGCCACTTAGAAAATGGCCAAATGTAATCTTTGGGATTACACTTTCTTAGTAAAGTACATATTCTAGTACTTTTGTTGGGTTGATTCCCATCTGGGATTCTAACCCACACCCTCAGTGTCAGAGTGCTCCTAATCCCGAGCACACAAAGTCAGCCATCTAACCCACTCAGCCAGTGACCCTTGGAAGTGTATGAGTCCCAAATATAACATATGTCACAGTATATCGATGATGATTCAAGCATATTAACTGTTTACTGAACAATCAATTTTACGGGAAATTCAGGACAAATAAACCTTTGGAAACCATTGGTCTGCCAGTTGACCAAACAATATATACAAATATCATGGACATGTGATTTAGTGCTACAGTGGAAAGTCTAAAAGGCCAGAATACAGTCTCTGTTATCAAAAATGAAATGTTCCCAGGTTCTATGTTGGTTTTACCAAGAAAGTAATGTAAATTAGGTGGAAGTATGGTAAAATGATAATAAAGAGATAATGGTTTGCACTCACTGGCAGCGCCTGCTCCAGTCTTTTCCAACAAGGGAACTGAAAATGTAGCAGATCGCATTAGAACACACATACCTTCAATATGTAAATATTAGTCTATATACGATAAACACTATGTCCAACATGCATATATTTGTAAAACTAGTGCTACCATGTTCTCTATGTGCGTGTGTGTATATGTTGCTTCCAGTCGGGCTGTGGGAGCTGTGAGTTATTTCTAGGTGGTCGTAGTGTGGCATGCTTTGTGTTAGCATTCACTAAAACTGTATAATATGTATATAAGGGATGGTCCTGAGATGTAGGAGGGCCTTCTACTTTTGAATTACGTTCATCTGTCTTCTAACATCAACATTTCAAGACGCACCGCTCAACATGCCTCATCTTCATTGAACTTTCAGTAGCTGTCAACAACCTTCAATAAGTACATCTCTTTTTATTGGGAATATCAATACTTTGAGTTAATATTTTAGATTTGTGACCAAATAGTATTGCATTAGATATCTGTGTATTCAATATTAAGTCCCTCCTGCAGGAGGGCTTGAAAAAATAAAGAAACACTATAATTTAAAACCTTTTTTACCATTTGTGTGACACATTTCATGAAATATTAAAATGTAGTCACTGGCTGCTAGTCTTTAAAGGAATGTTTGATACAGATCGAATCGTTTTATTTCGAAAATAATATCAATGATCAATTCTTGGTTATTTCTCCTTAAAAGATAAACAAAGGTCAAGCTGATTTGGGTCGTTTAAGAGTAGGAGGAAAACAGTATTTTTCATTTGTATATATCACACTAGATCACAATTTCTTCAGTGTCGGGGAAAATACAGATATGAAGATATGTTATTACTTCATGTTGGGCGGGGATAGGAAACACAGAAATACCTTATGACAACCAAGCTAATAATTTGGAAAACCTTAAATCTATTAACCTACTTCCAACCAACATACAGAGCTTGGTTAATGCTCAGATAACCTCTTGAAAATTTCTTGTGTCCCTCGCAGTGATATTGCTGGAATATTGTTGAGAGCGGCGTAAAACTAAATTTACTTACTCACTAAATAATGTCTTATGTTATTGAAGATAGTCTGATGGTGAACATTTTTCTCTGATGCCATTTGAAAAATTACTTATAATGATAGCTTTCTCAAAGGAGAGAATCAAATTGTATTTCGGAAAACACGAACTGCGTATACCCCAGTCCTTCTCCAGCTTCATTATCATACTTACTGTCTTCTTGGAACCTGCAAGTATAAAAGGTGACAATCACATTGGATAGATGACTTCTATTTGGCATACTTGAATCAGTGAAGTGAATTGTCAAGTTAAAAGTGATTCTGCTGCTGCCTAAATGCAGAGTTTATGCACCATGAAGGAGGTGTAATATTGTATTGTTTTCTGTAGTTATACCTTTTATCTAAACATGTTTTAAATCAAATCTGTTAGACTCTGGTGGTTTACAGACTTTTTGACGACAGGTTTCTAGGCATAGATTTATTGAGGTTTGATGTTTAGACTGCTCTCGTCACGGTATCAATGAAATATTACGATGTGACGTTAACATTTAACTCAATCACCTAGCTCTGTAAGATAATTTATGTTAATATTGAAGGGAAAACGTGCTTGGTTCGTTACTCATCGTTTGGCATCAACCACAATTACGTCATATTGCATAATCGTTTGTGCTGATATTACCTGTTCTCAAAGTCGGCTTTCCTTCTCCGTTTCCGTTTTCGTCTGCAACAAATTGTAATTATCAGAAACGTTTGAAATTCAATCTTGAACGGTATATGAGTATATTTGAATATTTAAATACATATATTTTCTTCTCGTTTAGTCAAGATGTTTCAGGAACAATGTTTTTTGGGTAATACCAAAGAACATCCATAGCATCACCACCTTGGACCTGTTGGAGAAAAAGGCATTCTGTTTCTATTTATCTATGTGATATTTATACAACCATGTAGACAGACCACAGCCACTATGTACACTTACACCAGGCTGATCACAACAGCCACTATCACCAGACAGAGTAGGAAGAATGAGTAGTTTTGTCAGCTGTACACTTACACCAGGCAGACCACCACAGCCGGTATGACCAGACATATGATGATGACGATGATAGGTATGATGATCACAAGAAGATCCACCTCTGGCTCTGATGAAGACGCCTCTGTTGTTGATAAAGTTGCATGCGTCGTCACCACTGTGTCTTAAAACAAGTACAATTAAGAACAGATTAGTTTTTGTTTGGTTCTAGAAGTTGGTTGTATAGAAATGACAAACCTTTAAGGACAATCAACTTCTTTAGTCTTTACTTCTTTATTTTCGGTATAAACGGTATTAAAATCCATACCGAAGCGCCGCCATTGTCAAAATAAAGAAGTTGATCATCCATGTAAAGTTTTGTCTCGCAAATTAGTTCCACGAACAAAGACGATGTCTAGAAGGTTCTGGTGTTGAACTTTCCCCAACACTCTAGAGCTAGACTACATGTCACTAGACTATATTCTGGAGGCTTTGGAAACTTCAGAACAAGTCATAACCAGCACACCACAGAATTTGCCTCCATCTACATTGTTCTACGAAGACATTAGAGAATTATTCGTATTCTGAACTGATGTGGATGCTTAGCATATGGTATCTCCATTACATTGCATCTAATGCATATTTCCAATCTTCCTAAATGTGGCTTCTTGAAAGAAGTAGCTACGTTGTTTTGAAATCAGGGACTTTGCTTTATTGTGATTGTTCGTGGAACTACATACCTAATGTCTCATTGCAAAAGTCCCCGATGTAGATCTCTTTGCAACCTAACGTACAATGTCCATTTCCGTGATTGCAGGTTTCGTTTAAACAGCCTCCGCTGCAGGATGTATTACACTGGTCGCCATGGTAGCCACGAACACATCCCTCAGAACATTTCCCAGTGTCCTTCTGACAGTGTATGAGGTTTCTCCGTAGGACAGGGTAACAGTTGGAGGGGCAGGGCCTGTCGCAGTTCTCGCCATATGTCCCCCAGGAGCATTGCTCATCGCCATGTACCGGTAAAACTGGAAGAGAATTATGGCACACTGAAACGGACTAAAACGCATCAGCCAAATATACCCTCAAGTTAAGCCAGATTGTAACGAGAAACACATATGTCCATGGTTAGTGATAGCCGGTCTGACACAAAACTCCTTTATCAGCAGATGATACCAGAGAGAGAGAGAGAGAGAGAGAGAGAGAGAGAGAGAGAGAGAGAGAGAGAGAGAGAGAGAGAGACAGAGAGAGACAGAGAGAGAGACAGAGAGAGACAGAGAGAGAGACAGAGAGAGACAGAGAGGGAGACAGAGAGAGACACAGAGAGAGACAGAGAGAGACAGAGAGAGAGACAGAGAGAGACAGAGAGAGACACAGAGAGAGACAGAGAGAGAGACAGAGAGAGAGACAGAGAGAGAGACAGAGAGAGACAGAGAGAGACAGAGAGAGACAGAGAGAGACAGAGAGAGAGAGAGAGAGACATAGAGAGACAGAGAGGGAGAGACAGAGAGAGACAGAGAGAGAGACAGAGAGAGACAGAGAGAGAGACAGAGAGAGACAGAGAGAGAGACAGAGAGAGACAGAGAGGAGAGACAGAGAGAGACAGAGAGAGAGACAGAGAGAGACAGAGAGAGAGACAGAGAGAGACAGAGAGAGACACAGAGAGAGACAGAGAGAGAGACAGAGAGAGACAGAGAGGGAGAGACAGAGAGAGACAGAGAGAGAGACAGAGAGAGACAGAGAGAGAGACAGAGAGAGACAGAGAGAGAGACATAGAGAGACAGAGAGGGAGAGACAGAGAGAGACATAGAGAGAGACAGAGAGAGACAGAGAGAGAGACAGAGAGAGACAGAGAGAGACAGAGAGAGACAGAGAGGTTTGTGTGGGGTGGTGGGGTGGGGTGTGGTGGTGGGTTTGGGGGATGATCTCATTCAGATCATGCTACTGCTACACTACACAGGTTAGATGTACTCACCGAGCAACAGCAGAACCATATGCAGCCACATCACTGAGAGTTGACTGGCGGGCACTTTACCTGACAGAAATGAACCAACAATTAACACAATTCAAAACCATGGAACTAAGCAGCTGTTTACAATTGTGGTTGTAGCAGCATTCAACAACATTCCAGCTTTACGACGGATGACAGTAAATAATCATGTTTTGGGCTGCAATCCAGCGACTGATCTCTTGAGCATCCCGTTGTATTTAGTCGCGTCTTTCTACAAGTTGAAGACCAATTGAAACCCAGATCTCCTGGAATGCCAACCCTTATAATGATGACGTCCCCTCATGACGTACATCACGGAAATGGCGGCGGGTTGTTATGATGACATAAGTAGGCCACTAGTTCGTAACATGAGGATGAAGTTTTTAAAGTACCGTCGGAAATAGGAAAAAAAATCACTCTATCCCTAAAATTTACACAATTGCAAACAGCATATGTCGAAATAACCCACATCGGCCTAACTGGGCGTTCAGTGGGAAGCGTAATAGGATATCCACAAAAGCATGTTTACTCGTTAATCCGGGCAAAACTTTGAAAAAGTACAAATAGCTGCTGAAAACAATAGATCAGATTATAGATGGCAATTAGGTCGCTCAGCCAGGTATGATGACGAACCGTGGACTCACCTGGCATGAAATGCACGCGCTGCCCACAGGCACAAGGTGTCGTCTCAAAGATATTCTATGTGTTTTCTTGTGTGTTGAGTATGTCTCATATATTAATTAACATCTCACGTGTCTTTCTTTCATAAAGTAGATGTTGAGATATGTAAAACAGTATGATAACCATAGAAAGGCTTAAATCAGCCATCGTATCAAATGTCTCAAAATATATAGGCAGCATGGCCACCCGAAGATCGACACTACTGGATATTATTTGTAAATTGTTATTTGCCCAGTTTAATTCCCTTAAAGAAGTATCTTATCGTAGCTGATATCCTGGTATGATGTGATATGTGATAAATAAATTATCATTTAATTGTAATCAGAAAATAACATCAATTACTTCAACTAGAAGAGTCCACTTTTAGATCATAGGGGTGTCACTAGTTTATTTTTGCATAACATGTTTTAATGTTATTTAAAGACTGTAGGCGAATTGGGATGTAGGCGAATTGAGAACAAACCCCCAGCCCGACCCGAGCCACCGTCTGCGACACCCGACCTGGTTTTGCTTTTGAGACGACCCCCCATGTCTGTATGTTTTGAGTTTCACGATTAAAACTATCATTTTGTACGTCAGCTATAGTTTCTAATGAAGCTAAGTCTAATTTCAAAATAGGCATTTAAAAATGTCCTTTGTAATATAATATTATTACACACTACTTTGTATAAAGCCTAGGTCTGTTCAAGATATGTCGACTTGGACTTTGCTCATTTCTGCACTAATCTCTCCTCAGTAAATTCCGCGATGGCCCCAGCATATGTTGTGTAAAATTGTTATTGCCATAAAATATTATTATGTTATTATTATTATGTTTTACAGATTAAAGATGAAAATGCAGCAGAGAGGGTTCGGGTGATCCTGGCACAGTCAGGCTGGTAAGGCTCATCATCAGCTCAGGGCCCTTGCCCCCTCTACACGCAGCGCAGACAGCGAATGGTACTTCTCCCAGGAAACACTGCCTAGTCGAACCCACCAAGAACTTTCCGGAGAATATGAAGGCTCCCCAACACTGCAGCCTTCTGCATTACCCAGAGTGTCAGAAGGGCATATTATTAAAAAAGAGTAGAGTAGTACAATACATGTGGCCCGATCTTGTCAATGATTGGTGTGTTGGTAGGGGGCGGAGAGCGGGGAGGACCTGTTCACGAGGGTTTTGTGGTAAGCAAAAACACCCCTTTAATCTATTCACGCGCTTTGTGGAAGTCAAAATGTCTTAACCGTAGTCTTTATTAGGTTTTTAAATCTAGTTTATTCTTTAAGAGAGGTCAACATCGCTGCGTGCAAAAGCAAAATTTCTCAATGTATATAGTTAGATATGGTTAATTTTGTACGAACTGTGGGGAAGTGTAAGTCCAAACATCAATTCAATATATTCACAGAAGTCAAATGTCCTAAGACATTGCTGCCTATGTCAAGAAATGCGCAACAAATCTCAACAGTGAGAGCAACATAGTGCTGTGTAAATCTTCACGTTTCAAACCCACACAATGTTTCATGCCGCTGTTATTTGTGGAAGCCGGGATTCCTGAGTGAGTAGATGTTAGACCTATGGATGGGACTCAACCCCAAAATGTACAGAATCACTACTTTCCTGAAGAGTTGTTATCTCAAATAGAACACATACACTTGGCCATATCCTAAATGGCATTGTGCATTTACATATTATACATGGTCATATTTCACATTTTGTTTATTTTCGAAAATAGTATCAGTTCGATATTTGTTCGCGATCACCCAGCTAAGCCATTGTTTTACAACTATTCACAATGTCTACATCCGCTGTCGTGGGGCGTATGTCTTTCATTGATTTGTTTTCTGTGATCTTACAAGATGTTTAGTCGCTGCATGAATAACTACGCATTCAGGAGGCCACAATGAGTGTTATATTAAACAGTCAACGAAAGCAGAACATGACGTATGCCCTCTCATAACACCCCGATGTTTAATAGATAGCAACACACAACAGGCTGTATACCCTCTCATAACACCCCGATGTTTAATGGATAGCAACACACAACAGACTGTATACCCTCTCATAACACCCAGATGTTTAATAGATAGCAACACACAACAGACTGTATACCCTCTCATAACACCCAGATGTATGTTGATATATTGTACAATAGATTGCAACGCACTACAGACTGTATACTATCTCATAACACCCAGATGCATGTTGATATATTGTACAATAGATAGCAACACACAACAGACTGTATACCCTCTCACAACACCCAGATGTACGTTAATACTATGTGTAAAAGATAGCAACACTAGAAGAGACTATATACCCTCTCATAACACCCAGATGCATGTTAAATAATGTACAATAGATAGCAACACACAACAGACTGTATACTCACTCATAACACCCAGATGCATGTTGATATAATGTACAATAGATAGCAACACACAACAGACTGTATACCCTCTCACAACACCCAGATGTACGTTAATACTATGTGTAAAAGATAGCAACACTAGAAGAGACTATATACCCTCTCATAACACCCAGATGCATGTTAAATAATGTACAATAGATAGCAACACACAACAGACTGTATACTCTCTCATAACACCCAGATGCATGTTGATATAATGTACAATAGATAGCAACACACAACAGACTGTATACCCTCTCACAACACCCAGATGTACGTTAATACTATGTGTAAAAGATAGCAACACTAGAAGAGACTATATACCCTCTCATAACACCCAGATGCATGTTAAATAATGTACAATAGATAGCAACACACAACAGACTGTATACCCTCAGTAGTATACACAATATTACAAAAGCCTCTGTAAAGCTTCATTCACGAAATAAAGCTTTTGTCAGGCCCTTATCTCTCCCCGCTATTGTAAATACCCGATTTGAACCACCAGTTAACTTCCTGGATATCGAAAGCACAGGAATGGTCAGGACTACTAGGATTGGTACTCCCTTTCTGCATTTTTTCCCCCGCAACAGTAGTCGAAAATTTCCAATTAGAGATTTGGTAGTTCAAATGTATAGCACTACATATAGCAGAAGATGGCAACCGAATCGACTTTCCAACAAATGGGCTTACGGGTCGAAAAGTCTGTAGGAGCACATCTACTCCTAGAAAATACTGTAGACAGCAATCTTGTGTCGAATATCGCCGGCGCCGACTATCTTGCTGGCCATCTTGGTAGAACAAACCAACAACCTTTGAAAGGTCTACCTACATTCGTAGACGATATATACGTGTTTGGCTATCTCCAACGCAAAGACTGAGTTTGCAAGAATGCCAAGGTATCTTGTACGACTGGAAGGGAAGGTTCCGCACAACTCGGCGTTTCCAGAATCTCCATCACAGTACAAGAGTCTTTGGCGAACCCCAAACATGTGCAAACAAATATCCTACACACGATAGGAATACGAGAAGACAACTGTTGAGCAATACGGAGCACCATCGCTAGAATAGAGAGAGAGACCGGAAATAAAGCAAAAGACAAGTGGCAAGAACTATATCCGGAAGAGAAGGCATATGCTCTATTCCTAGCAAAGATAGACGTTTCTGAAATACCCATCGGCAAGCTACAAACGTCGATTCCAAAACTAGAACGCCAACTACTAGCACACGGCTATGGGCTGTATTCTATCGACTATACAAGAGATTTCTCTGGTGTACTGGACCACAAGCGACTGGTGGAATACCTTTGGAAGAAACATGGTTTTCGAGAGCAAGGGGACTTGTCTTCTGCTATGCAGTCGAACAGTCCAACAATTCTAGACAATATGGGTAGTGTTGGGGCCCACGTCTGTACTTGGGTCGAAACCTGGATTGGCTATACAATGCAAACAAAACTCTACAACAATGTTGTTTCCAATTTCGAAGCAGGAGAAGTCCGGGTGCAAAATCGGAGGACATCTGGCAGACTATGTTGATTGCCCAAACCAACACTTTGGGAACACTTTCCTGCATCCAGACGTGCAAGCCCGTGGTTGTACTCGCATAGAAGTTTCGCTTTACGTGCATCCACACAACTCGGAAGAAATAGCAAACGATTTGGTAGAACAAACTCTAGAGATGGTATCTCCTCCAGACACCAACTTGTTCATAGTACAACCACCCGCAAAACAATGGGAAAATCTATCAAAATGTCTAGACCGCTGTCTTGTTCTGGCGGATCGCCCACAGGGCACCATATTCGTAGTTTGGTATGCACATTCGGAGACGGGTAGACTTTCTGGGGTCTGTATTGCACCTACAGGAGCAGACGACGATGCTACGTGGGAGAAAGCGATAGAATGGCTGCAGCAGATTTTGGTTTCCGAGCATGTCCAATATTTCGGGTAGATATACTCTCTGCTACAGATACTGGTGTGGACCTAGGTCCACTACGTTGCTATACAAAGGATCCCAATGCCAAAACGATACTGTGTGCGAGTAGAAGACCAACCCAGCTATATCCAAATGGAGCAGATCCGAGTATTCTATTGCCTTCTTGCAAGACAGTAGAGTGGGAATGGAGAACAGCCAAATGTAGCACCATAGGCAAGGCTTCTTCCAAATTCCAACTGCAGGAAGTACCAGAGATTGCAAAAGACAGAGAAGTATATTCTGGATCTGCTAGGGGTCGAGGAAAACGATTGCAAGAAATACAAGAAGCAGCACGCGTGAAAGAATGGAGAAGAGAAGCATGGGCTATCCTAGAAGGCATCACACAACAGTCTGTATACTCTCCTGTATTTTGTAATCCGAGTTACATGGTGCTCAGTCACTGTATGAATAACTGAGCATTCAGGGCGCCATAATGAGCGTTTGAAATAGCTGTTATGTTACACAATCAACGCTGCGCAGTCTTCAACTGGAGCCGACGTCTGCTCACTGCCATTACAAGCAATCTGGTCAGTAAAGCATGCCATATAGATACCAACACAGAACTGACTGTATACCCTCTCATAACACCCAGATGCACGTTAATACCATGTGTAATAGATACCAACACAGAACTGACTGTATATCCTCTCATAACACCCACATGTACGTTAAAACTATGTGCAATAGATAACAACACAGAACAAACTGTATACCCTCTCATAACACCCAGATGTACGTTAGTACTATGTGTAATAGATAACAACACAGAACTGACTGTATATCCTCTCATAACACCCAGATGCACGTTAATACTATGTGCAATAGATACCAACACAGAACTGACTGTATATCCTCTCATAACACCCAGATGCACGTTAATACCATGTGTAATAGATACCAACACAGAACAGACTGTATACCCTCTCATAACACCCACATGTACGTTAAAACTATGTGCAATAGATAACAACACAGAACAGGCTGTATACCCTCTCATAACACCCAGATGTACGTTAATACTATGTTTAATAGATAACAACACAGAACAAACTGTATACCCTCTCATAACACCCAGATGTACGTTAGTACTATGTGTAATAGATAACAACACAGAACTGACTGTATATCCTCTCATAACACCCAGATGCACGTTAATACTATGTGCAATAGATACCAACACAGAACTGACTGTATATCCTCTCATAACACCCAGATGCACGTTAATACCATGTGTAATAGATACCAACACAGAACAGACTGTATACCCTCTCATAACACCCACATGTACGTTAAAACTATGTGCAATAGATAACAACACAGAACAAACTGTATACCCTCTCATAACACCCAGATGTACGTTAATACTATGTGTAATAGATAACAACACAGAACTGACTGTATATCCTCTCATAACACCCAGATGCACGTTAGTACTATGTGTAATAGATAACAACACAGAACTGACTGTATATCCTCTCATAACACCCAGATGCACGTTAATACTATGTGTAATAGATAACAACACAGAACTGACTGTATATCCTCTCATAACACCCAGATGCACGTTAATACTATATTCAATTAATAGATAACAACACAGAACAGGCTGTATACCCTCTCCTGACACCCAGATGCGCTTTTTTATTTTCTTTACATCTAGCAACGCAATTGTATCTACATGAAATCCTCATGGTGCCTGAGATTGATAAGAAATAAAATAAACCTAATGATGACCTCTAATAAGTATTACTAATAAACCATTATCTTAAAGTCAAATGAAATACCTTCTCAGAGCAGATGGAGACGCCGTCAGGGTGTACCTGTGAACGTGATTTTAGTCCACCTGTTCGATACCTGTCCACACACATCTAACCCGCTATCGTCAAATTCTTCTTTGTACTAAATATAACCATGGCCGGCCACAATGACTGCGGTAACACAATGCAATAAACAGGACAGGTTTTTTATGCGTGCTCCCCGAATTACATTTCCCGTTACACTTGGAACGTTGGAGCGAAGGGCGTTTGTCAGCAGGGCAATGCTCGGGACATTTCCTCTGCAGAAGAAATCTCTGATAGTATAATGTGGGTAGACACACTTTAACATTCACACCAGTAAAACTCATAAACGAGCATCAATATATTTGCACCATTATCTGACAATCCTTTACTGATATGAAGGTTGGCTGAATAAGTCTGAGCTTAACTCTACAGTATACTGTCAGTGCATGCATTCGCTACAACGAGACCTCAGTAACCCATGGCTGGCTTTAAGTGTAATGGTAGGGGGAGGACAGGACATGCATTCGCGTCTGTGCCTGTGCTCTTGTCTGTGTGAGTGCCTTTTCCCGTGGGTGTGTCTGTGTCCGTGAATGTGTCTGTCTGTCTCTGTGTCCGTGTGTACCTTTGTCTGTATTTGTTCCGATGTATATGTCTGTGCCTGTTTTTGTGTCTGCACCTGTCTCTATATTTGTGATTGTGTTTGTGTGTGTGCCTTTGCCTGTGTTGGTGCCTGTGTCTGTACCTGTGTTTGTGTCTGTGTTTATTACTGTATTTCTGTCTGTAGTGTGTGTTTGTGCTTTGGCTTTGCCTGAATCTGTTCCCGTTCCTGTATTTATGTCTGTGCCTCGGTTTGCGAGTGAGTGATTGAGTATTGCTTAACGCCGCATGACCAATGTTGCAGCAATTCTCGGCGATCGGTTTCTGACTGTGCCTGTCTCTATGAGTGTGTTTGTCTGTGCCTGTTTCTGAATGTGCCGGTGTTTATGCTTGTGTCTTTGTCTATTCCTGTCTCTTTGTGCATGTCCGAGTGTGTCTGTGTCCGTCTTTCTGTGTATGTGTCTGTGCCAGTGTCTGTGTCTGCCAGTGTCTGTGTCTGTGTCTATTGCTAAGAGTGGCGTACAACCATACTCACTCACTCTATACTCAGTGTCTGATGTGTTAGATCTGAACTTCAACACAGTGTCTGATTTGGTTGGTCTCTACTTCTACACAGAGTCTGACGTTTTAGATCTGTTCTTCTACAAACAGTAATTGTTATGTTAGATCTGTACGTCTACACTCTATGTCTGATGGTGTAAATCTGTACTTCTACAAACAGTAATTGTTGTGTCAGATCTGTACGTCTACACTCTATGTCTGATGGTGTAAATCTGTACTTCTACACATAGTAATTGTTGTGTTAGATCCGTACGTCTACACTCTATGTCTGATGGTGTAAATCTGTACTTCTACACATAGTAATTGTTGTGTCAGATCTGTACGTCTACACTCTATGTCTGATGGTGTAAATCTGTACTTCTACACACAGTAATTGTTGTGTCAGATCTGTACGTCTACACTCTATGTCTGATGGTGTAAATCTGTACTTCTACAAACAGTAATTGTTGTGTCAGATCTGTACGTCTACACTCTATGTCTGATGATGTAAATCTGTACTTCTACACACAGTAATTGTTGTGTTAGATCTGTACGTCTACACTCTATGTCTGATGGACTAAATCTGTACTTCTACACATAGTAATTGTTGTGTTAGATCTGTACGTCTACACTCTATGTCTGATGTTGTAAATCTGTACTTCTACACACAGTAATTGTTGTGTTAGATCTGTACATCTACACTCTATGTCTGATGTTGTAAATCTGTACTTCTACACACAGTAATTGTTGTGATAGATTTGTACGTCTACACTCTATGTCTGATGTTGTAAATCTGTACTTCTACACACAGTAATTGTTGTGTTAGATTTGTACGTCTTCACTCTATGTCTGATGGTGTAAATCTGTACTTCTACACATAGTAATTGTTGTGTTAGATCTGTACGTCTACACTCTATGTCTGATGGTGTAAATCTGTACTTCTACACACAGTAATTGTTGTGTTAGATCTGTACGTCTACACTCTATGTCTGATGATGTAAATCTGTACTTCTACACACAGTAATTGTTGTGTTAGATATGTACGTCTACACTCTATGTCTGATGGTGTAAATCTGTACTTCTACACATAGTAATTGTTGTGTTAGATCTGTACGTCTACACTCTATGTCTGATGGTGTAAATCTGTACTTCTACACATAGTAATTGTTGTGTTAGATCTGTACGTCTACACTCTATGTCTGATGGTGTAAATCTGTACTTCTACACACAGTAATTGTTGTGTTAGATCTGTACGTCTACACTCTATGTCTGATGTTGTAAATCTGTACTTCTACACACAGTAATTGTTGTGTTAGATCTGTACGTCTACACTCTATGTCTGATGATGTAAATCTGTACTTCTACACACAGTAATTGTTTGTGTTAGATCTGTACGTCTACACTCTATGTCTGATGGACTAAATCTGTACTTCTACACACAGTAAGTAGATTGTTGTCTGTTATGTCTGAGTAAATCACATAGTAATTGTTGTGTTAGATCTGTACGTCTACACTCTATGTCTGATGTTGTAAATCTGTACTTCTACACACAGTAATTGTTGTGTTAGATCTGTACGTCTACACTCTATGTCTGATGGTGTAAATCTGTACTTCTACACATAGTAATTGTTGTGTTAGATCTGTACGTCTACACTCTATGTCTGATGGTGTAAATCTGTACTTCTACACATAGTAATTGTTGTGTTAGATCTGTACGTCTACACTCTATGTCTGATGATGTAAATCTGTACTTCTACACACAGTAATTGTTGTGTTAGATCTGTACGTCTACACTCTATGTCTGATGGTGTAAATCTGTACTTCTACACACAGTAATTGTTGTGTTAGATCTGTACGTCTACACTCTATGTCTGATGGTGTAAATCTGTACTTCTACACACAGTAATTGTTGTGTTAGATCTGTACGTCTACACTCTATGTCTGATGGTGTAAATCTGTACTTCTACACACAGTAATTGTTGTGTTAGATCTGTACGTCTACACTCTATGTCTGATGATGTAAATCTGTACTTCTACACACAGTAATTGTTGTGTTAGATCTGTACGTCTACACTCTATGTCTGATGATGTAAATCTGTACTTCTACACACAGTAATTGTTGTGTCAGATCTGTACGTCTACACTCTATGTCTGATGGTGTAAATCTGTACTTCTACACACACAGTAATTGTTGTGTTAGATCTGTACGTCTACACACACTCTATGTCTGATGGACTAAATCTGTACTTCTACACATAGTAATTGTTGTGTTAGATCTGTACGTCTACACTCTATGTCTGATGGTGTAAATCTGTACTTCTACACACAGTAATTGTTGTGTTAGATATGTACGTCTACACTCTATGTCTGATGGTGTAAATCTGTACTTCTACACATAGTAATTGTTGTGTTAGATCTGTACGTCTACACTCTATGTCTGATGGTGTAAATCTGTACTTCTACACATAGTAATTGTTGTGTCAGATCTGTACGTCTACACTCTATGTCTGATGGTGTAAATCTGTACTTCTACACACAGTAATTGTTGTGTTAGATCTGTACGTCTACACTCTATGTCTGATGGTGTAAATCTGTACTTCTACACATAGTAATTGTTGTGTTAGATCTGTACGTCTACACTCTATGTCTGATGGTGTAAATCTGTACTTCTACACACAGTAATTGTTGTGTTAGATCTGTACGTCTACACTCTATGTCTGATGGTGTAAATCTGTACTTCTACACACAGTAATTGTTGTGTTAGATCTGTACGTCTACACTCTATGTCTGATGGTGTAAATCTGTACTTCTACACACAGTAATTGTTGTGTTAGATCTGTACGTCTACACTCTATGTCTGATGATGTAAATCTGTACTTCTACACACAGTAATTGTTGTGTTAGATCTGTACGTCTACACTCTATGTCTGATGATGTAAATCTGTACTTCTACACACAGTAATTGTTGTGTTAGATCTGTACGTCTACACTCTATGTCTGATGATGTAAATCTGTACTTCTACACATAGTAATTGTTGTGTTAGATCTGTACGTCTACACTCTATGTCTGATGATGTAAATCTGTACTTCTCTACACACAGTACAATTGTTGTGTTAGATCTGTACGTCTACACTCTATGTCTGATGGTGTAAATCTGTACTTCTACACACAGTAATTGTTGTGTTAGATCTGTACGTCTACACTCTATGTCTGATGTTGTAAATCTGTACTTCTACACACAGTAATTGTTGTGTTAGATCTGTACGTCTACACTCTATGTCTGATGTTGTAAATCTGTACTTCTACACACAGTAATTGTTGTGTTAGATCTGTACGTCTACACTCTATGTCTGATGGTGTAAATCTGTACTTCTACACACAGTAATTGTTGTGTTAGATCTGTACGTCTACACTCTATGTCTGATGGTGTAAATCTGTACTTCTACACACAGTAATTGTTGTGTTAGATCTGTACGTCTACACTCTATGTCTGATGATGTAAATCTGTACTTCTACACACAGTAGTAATTGTTGTGTTAGATCTGTACGTCTACACTCTATGTCTGATGGTGTAAATCTGTACTTCTACACACAGTAATTGTTGTGTTAGATCTGTACGTCTACACTCTATGTCTGATGGTGTAAATCTGTACTTCTACACACAGTAATTGTTGTGTTAGATCTGTACGTCTACACTCTATGTCTGATGGTGTAAATCTGTACTTCTACACACAGTAATTGTTGTGTTAGATCTGTACGTCTACACTCTATGTCTGATGGTGTAAATCTGTACTTCTACACACAGTGTTGTGTGTTCTATGTCTGATGGTGTAAATCTGTACGTCTACACTCTATGTCTGATGATGTAAATCTGTACTTCTACACACAGTAATTGTTGTGTTAGATCTGTACGTCTACACTCTATGTCTGATGATGTAAATCTGTACTTCTACACACAGTAATTGTTGTGTTAGATCTGTACGTCTACACTCTATGTCTGATGGTGTAAATCTGTACTTCTACACACAGTAATTGTTGTGTTAGATCTGTACGTCTACACTCTATGTCTGATGGATGTAAATCTGTACTTCTACACACAGTAATTGTTGTG